GAAAAGAAGAAAAAAGATTCCCAGAACAAATTGTTTTCCCCGCTCTCCCCCTCCCACCCCAAGCTCTTTGAAAAGAAAGAGTAGCACAACTATGGGGAAAGGACAGAATTAGGTATGTATGACAAACAAGGGACACCGTCAATTCAAGGACAGTCTCGTAGTTTGCTTGCAAGCACAGCACGTTGCCCTGAAACGTAAGGAATGACAGTCCTAAGATTTGCAAGACCTGGGTGTTGTTTTGTACATAACGTTGCCACAAAGTCAAGGTCCTTTGTCGACTTTTTCTCCGCTTTTAAAAAAGTTCCACACAGCTTTTCGCAGCACGGAAAAACTGTGGATATCAGCAAAAAAATAATAATCACTGTAATTGCCAAAGGAAGTGTCTCTGCAACTGGTAAAAATCCAGAAGTCTTCAGGCACGCCAGTAGCACCTCGAGCCTTCCCCAAGTTCATCCATATGCCGATTTGATGTTCAGCCTCCCTCTTTGGGCCCCAAGCGGGAACTAGAATTTTGAAGCCATCCGTGATATTGAGAAGCATCATCTGAGCTGCACTTCGTGGATCAGAGAATTCACCAAGGATGGCTTTGCAACTGGTCACCTGTTCTGACCGAGGCTTTGTGAGAAAGCATAAGTCGCAAACCTAGTCCCCCAAAGCCTCTTATTTAGACGGCTATGAATTATGGTCATTCACAGCTCGTAGTGATTCACAAAAAGTCTGTGAAGATGAGTTGACACACATTTTCAGGGGTAATGTTGATAAACACCCACCTTTATCTCCCTTGAAACGCTGCCAGAGANAACGAAATCTAGCAGCAGGCAGGCGGCCTTCTTGTGCACTACATAGCCAGGGAAGGATTTCAAACTGGCAACCAAATTTCTCTTTGGGAATGCCTTTATTTTAAAAATAATAATTATTTTTTAATTATAAAGGAATGCCTTTATAATTAAAGAGAGATAAGGATCAGAATTTGGGAGTTGCGTTCCCTGCCCAGGTACTGATTGTGACTTCCTTTTGAAAGCAACAGCTCAATATTTGTAGCTTGGGGTGGGAGTTGGGGGAATTTTGCCAGTTAAGAGAAAGCAATACATTTGTCAGAAATTCCTGAGGCCACCACGTTTCTAATGAACTGTGAGGAGTAACTGCTGCAGAAGTTAGCCACTACGTTTGGAAGGTAGGGGCCAGAATTGTTCAGTATCCAGAAGTGTGCCTTACTGACTAGTGTGGCTAGTAAACCACCTGAGACCTAATTTGGAATAGTGCTATTTTTTCCCCCTCTTTATGCAAAAATGCTCTGAAATCACACTAGGAACATCTGCAGTAGGAGAATCATAGCAACAGACACCACCTGTGGCATAATAATCTCAATGCAGGGCTGATATTCTGATGGAGCTGGCCCTTTTCAAGCTTTATAGCATTGATACAGAAAATTAAGACACTGGGTGGGTTGTCTAGTTTTTCCATTCAGGATACATCTCACTTGAAAAAAGTTTCTCCCTGTATCAGCTGTCCAATCCTTGGGTCCTTTCTTTTTCCTGGCAAGCCAGCTCTAAATGTGCCAAATTCTAGAAACCCCTTTAATGTTTTAACACTATGCTGAATTCACTGTAAAGTGTAGAGTATCTTCTTTTCCTTCTTATTTTCAGCATGAATGTCAGACTATCCTCCATTAATGCAGAGAAACATTCCCCCCTTTGTCAGGAATCCATTTCCACTTACAGGGAAGAGCTGTAAGAACAGGAACTATTTTTGAAACTCCCCCCCCCCCCTTTCCCTAATATTTCCAATCAATGTACTGGTGCATATTCAAGGCAGGAAACTTCCTACTTGTCTGGGTCACAAAGTAATTTGGACCTGAAGCCACCAAACACTCAAAAGGAATTCTCAGAAAACCAGGCCCAGATTACAGATGGCCCTGTTTTTAAAAATATTTCCCTATTTTTAAAGGTGTAAGTATTTTAGTCACTTCCAGGCGAGATGGGCAACAGAGAAGTCTAATAAATAAAATTTTCCTTGGTCCCTGAACATTTTCATCTCCCCATGCTTCAGTTCCACATCTGTGGGGCCATAAGAACTTAGATCCAGATGTAGACCTTTCCCTAATATAAGTAGGCGAAGGAGCCAGAAATCGGTAAATTTTGGGTGACACTTGGATACCACTCTTTATAGATATTCTGGCAAGACCAGTGTCCGATCCTCTGCCACAAGGTGCTTCAGCATCCTGAGAAAGAGAGATGGGATCAGGTTGCCCAAAGGCTCCGCCAAGCAGCCGAAGGGCTAAAAGAAGGCTTGTTTGACCTCTACAGAGGTTTCCCCCCCTTCCTGGAGATCAAAGCAGAGTACTCTGTTTTTGTCTTCCTGATGGTTTCTTTGTATCGTACGTGTTTGTGTGTGTGTTTTGTCCAGGCTTCTCTAGGCCACCGATTACACAATCCCCTGTTAAGGGCATTATTGTTTTATGATAAGAAAGAGAAGGTATTGAGAAGCGGGGATCGCCAACTGCTTCCAGCATCAGAACTGACTATTGCAGGAGATGTCCCTCGCGCATCTACTGTACAACAGGCCCCGAGCACAGATCCATTTTTATGAAAAGGGTCAACCCTAAAAAATGCACTTTGTGGGATTCCCATTGGTGTTGAACTTTTGGATCCTTAATGTTCTAGAACAGTGTTTCTCAACCTTGGCAACTTGAAGATGTCCGGACTTCAACTCCCAGAATTCCCCAGCCAGCGAATGCTGGCTGGGGAATTC